GGCGACCCTGTCCAGGGAGGAGCAGAAGGCCGCGGAAGGGCCTCACCTTCCAGGCGCAAGGTCAGCGCCACGCTCTCGTCCTCGATGCCGTTGACCAGCTCGCAGCGGTACCGGCCCTCGTCCTCCAGGCGCACGCCCTCGATGACCAGGGAGGCGTCCAGGCGGTGGCCCCTACGCATCCTGGCGCGCCCTCCCAGAGGCCCATAGCCCCGGGCGTGCAGTCCGTTGGTGATGAGGATCAGTGTCTCCCGGAGCTCCCCGGGCTCCACTTTGCTCCAGCGTACCTTGTAACTGGGAGGCGAGGCGCCCAGGACGCAGGGTAGCGTGGCCGTGGCCCCACGACGAGAGTGAATGACCTCGTGGATGGGGGGCAGGAGGTAGTGGGGGCCCGGGTGGAATGCTGGGCAGAGGGGGCCACAGTGGCAGGAACCCCCTGATCCTCACTGCGCCAAGTGCCCATGCAGACCCTGCCCCCAGAGACTTTCCCCTGGTCCCCTGACCCTCTCCATTGCCCATTCCCCACTGACTCTCCTAGTACCTCTAACAGCGGCCCTTTCCACTCTTCCCACCCCTGATGGCTTCCCCCAGTGTGTTCCAGGTTCTGGGCTGGGCTGGGGTCTTACCTGAATCCCCCAGGGCTTTGTGGAAGATGGCAAAGGCCCAAAGGAGAAGGAGTTGGCACAGTGCAGGAAGGGTGAGGCCACCTGGCATGATGGGCCGTGGTCGGAATGCACGGTCTGCAGGGCACAAAGGGGGCATTCCCTAGGACTGGGGGAATGGGGTGGGGAAAGAGGAAACCCCTTAGGAACTCCAGGAGGGAGCTATCCAACTGGGAAGCCCAGGGGGCAGAAAAGGAGCTGGTGACAAAAGGAAGGTATGGCGAGGGGAGGGAGTAAAGACCCCACCCACTCTGCCAGAGGGCCATCCCTCTTCCTGGCCCACCTCCCCTCCATCAGCAGGTCCTGATATAGCACCTCTGTCCCCTCCCATCCTAGGTGCTACTTCCTGAGCGTGCCATCCAGTTGTCATCTCCAGTCTGTCCCCCCCACACCCCTTCTCCATCCCAAATTCAGAATAAATATAACCTTGACATCTCCTACTTGAAACAATGGCTCCCCAGTCTCCTGACTACAGTTTCCCTATGATCCAGTCTCCCCTGCACGGCTGAAATCACCTGGTGCTGTCCCTCACCATCCCCCACTCTTCACTGTGCTCCAGACTTGCTGGACTTCTGGCAAATTCCAAAGCAGCCCAAGTTGAAGGTCACGTCCTTTACACAGGCATCAGTTGGCCCCCACCCCCTCTGGGAAAACTTTTCTCATTCCCAGTTTGCTATATTATAGTGCACTGTGATCTAATGTACTGGACTGGGGATTGTTTTTCCTTAGAAGTAATTTTATTAGTATCTAACCTAATGGTGTGAATTTGAAAATAATCATGTGCATGTGTAGATTATATAAGTGAGGTTTTCCAGAAGTTATAAAGTATAAAATTATAAAGCCATAAAAACTATTTCAGGACTGTGGTTGTGGCTCAGTGGTAGAGTACTTGCCCAGCATACAAGAGGCACTGGATTCGATCCTCAGCACTATATAAAAATCAACTAATCAATCCATATATTATTAAAAAACTATTTCAAATGCAATTGTCTGTTTTGTCAGAAGATTCCCCCCTTCTTTGTCATATCTATTTTAAATTAGACTGAGGACCCCTTGAGCTGGTTTTATTTTTCAAATGTGGCTCTTCCACATCCTAACTGCAGAACTTTAAACAAGTTATTCAACCTCTCTCTGCCTCCTGTCTGCATTAGTAAAATGTGGATAATAATAGCCTACCTACCTCACTGAGTAGTAAGTAGTTGTGAGGATTTGATGAATTAATATGGTAAATATAAAGTGTTGAAAGCAGTTCCTGATACAGAATGTGTGTGTGTGTGTG